GGGGGGGCAAGAAGACGGGACCCCAAAGGTCAAAGGGAGCCGCACTCCGCGGAGGGGGGGAACGACGCCAACCTTCGCTACTGCGCAGGCGCCATATGGGTGATGGATGGATTGGTCGCTCTGGGGAGGGCAGCGATTGGCAGGAGGACTCCTCGGGACAAGAGGAACCAGGAACAGAACCCGCAGCGAAGTCCCGCCTCCACTTCCGGGAACAAAGCCTCGGGAGGCTGCTCAGCTCCGTCGGCCTGGAGGGGAATTGGGAATTGGGAAGACGGGACCCCAAAGATCAAAGGGAGCCGCTCGCCTCACTTCCGCGGCGGAACGAAAACAACCTTCGCTACCGCGCAGGCGCCAACTGGCATTTTTTGGAGGAATAACGACGCCGATTGGTCGCTCTGGGGAAGGCAGCGATTGACAGGAGGACTCCTCGGGGCGATCCATTCAAAGGAAAGATTAAGAGCAACCAGGAACAGACCTCGCAGCGAAGTCCCGCCTCCACTTCCGGGAACAAACAGAACTGAGACGCCCTAATTGATTCGGCCGCGGAGGGGCTCGGATCCAGGTAGGGCGCAAGGGATGCTGGGAGTCGCAGTCCGAGAGGCTTTCTGGCGGAGAAGGGAGGGGGGAGGAGCCCGAGGCCTGGTTTGGCGGGACGGGCGCTGGGAGGGAGGCCGGCTCCGTCTCGTTCTTGCCCGGGAAATGCTGATGACAGGCGGAGGCTTCGGCTTTCCTCCCCGGGAAGGCGGGCGGGAGGGCGGGCCTAGGACTCCCCTCTGGGGAAGGGACGAATCTCTGACCCGCCTCTCCTCCCCCCCCTTCGCCCCTGCAGCAGGACGGGCGAGCCCGGCGGAGGAAGGAAGGAAGGAGGCGCCGCCCGAGAGGAGAGGAGCCCCCCCAGAGCAGCCCCGGGAGGAGACGGCGGGGAAGGCCCGGCAGGGATGAGCCGAAGGGGACTCCGGGAAAGGAGGCCGCCTGGAGGGAGAAGCGGGGAGCAGGAAACCGGCAGAGACCCCGAGACGGGCCTGGAGGGCGGAGGGTCCTTCGGGACAGGCGGAAGACTCGGGAATCCCCAGAGAATCCAGGAGGCAGGAGAGAAATATCAGTGCCCGGAATGTGGAAAATCCTTCAAAGCAAATGAAGCTCTTAAAAACCATCGAAGAATCCACACTGGAGAGAAACCTTATGGATGCCCGGAGTGTGGAAAGAGCTTCAGTCTGAGGGGAGAACTTTATAAACATCTAAAAATCCACACTGGAGAGAAACGGCATAAGTGCCTGGAGTGTGGAAAGAGCTTCAGGCAGACAGGACACCTTTATATACATCAAAGGATCCACACTGGAGAGAAACCATTTAAATGCCTGGAATGTGAAAAGAGTTTCAATAGCAGAGGCGGTCTCAAGAGACATCAAAGGTTTCACACTGGTGAAAAACCACATGAATGCTTGGAGTGTGGAAAGAGCTTTACTCTGGGTGAACAGCTCCGTAGACATCAGTGGATTCACAGAGAAGAAAAACCATATAAATGTCCGGTGTGTGGAAAGTACTACAGTGAGAGGAACAGCTTTTTGGTACATCAAAGAAACCACACAGGAGAGAAACCATATAAATGTGTGGAGTGTGGAAAGAGCTTCAGTTGGAGGGGCACCCTTTATGTACATAAAAGGATCCACACAGGAGAAAAACCGTATAAATGCCCGGAGTGTGGAAATAGTTTCAATCATAGGAGCACGCTTTATAAACATCAAAGAATCCACACAGGAGAAAGACCACACAAATGCCTGGAGTGTGGAAAGAGCTTCATTCAGCGGGGAGAACTTTATAAACATGAAAGAATCCACACTGGAGAGAAACCATTTAAATGTCTGGAGTGTG